CCTAATTCATAGTGCAGAAACATAATTATACTAATTTCCAAAAAGTCAGAAAACTTAAAAGACTTAAACAACTGGTGTCCAATCTCTCTAGTAAATTGTGATGCTAAAATTTTTATAAAAATTATAGCAAACAGGCTTAATATAATCTGCAAGAAAATTATTTCTAATCACCAACAAGGATTTGTTTCTAAAAGATCAATAATGAACACAGCCTTAGATATAATTACCATATTAAGAAACCAATCAGACAGCTCCAAACAGCACTGGATGCTTTTAGTAGAACAGCAAAAGGCTTTTGACAGAGTGAACCATAACTTTCTAAACCTGGTTCTAAAAAAATGAACTTTGACAAAAAAATGACCAACTTGGTAGCCAACCTCTTTTCAAACCAAATGGCACACATTATAGAAGCCAATGTTCTATTTGAACCTTTTAGAGTAGAAAGAGGAGTACAACAAGGGGATCCACTCTCCCCTCTACTATATGTACTTGCATTTGAACTACTACTTATTCAACTAGAAAGAAACATTCGAGGAATTCCCTTAAAAAACCAGTTCTTTAAACTGTCAGCTTATGCAGATAACTTAATAATAAGAATAAGCTCATCATCAGACTGGATAAACACTATGCAACTTTTTGAAACCTACGAAGCTGCCTCTAATGCAAAAATCAACAAAAACAAAACCAAATTAGTGCCTCTTACAAATACAGCCTGCAGGATCGAACTTAAGGATAAATCCCAATTTACTAAAACTACAAACAGAAAACACTAACAATTCTTGGATATGAAGTAAACACAAAAGGCATTCCTAAAAAAGACTTATGAACAATAACAATCACTAAGATAAAAAAGACACAAGATTGGTCCTCTTGGTTCCTCAGTGTAGTAATTATATCTAAAGCTATATCTACTATTGATTATCTTTTTATAAATGCTTGTTGTGATGGACTAATAATTGAGTTACAAATTTTATTAATCCTATTAGCCAATATTTTCATAAAAATTTTGGCATCACTATTAGTTAGTGAAATAGGCCTTCAGTTATTAACATCACTTAAGTTTTCTGCTTTTTTAGGAATAAGTGTAATTATGCTTTTGGACCATAATTTAGGGATAGTGCCTGTTTCCAGACAGTAGTTAAAAAGACCTGTAAGTGCAGGAATAATCTCTTCTTGAATATCTTTATAGAATTCATAGCTAAGGCCATCTGAACCTAGAGCCTTGTTGTTAAGAAGAGAGATCAGTACACTTTTGACTTTATCTTCTGTAATGTGTTTTTTAAGTAACATGTTTTGTGTTATCATAATAGGAGTAAAATTCTGGATGAAAAAATCAGCCTCATCTTGACTAATTTCCTCAACTTTGTATATATCTTAGTAAATATTTCTTATATATTGAACTGTTTTGTTAATATTGTCTGGTTCAAAGTTGTTTGATGGAGAAATTTTATCTTTTGCTGATAATGTATTTTTAATTTTGTATTGTATAAAGAAAAATTTGGTTGATTTTTCTCCTTCTTCTATCTATTTAGCATTGGATCTAAGTTGCCATTTCTCAGAAAGAGTATGAAGCTCATCCTGAAGTTGTATGCTAAGGCCTTCTTTTGTTTTAAGAAGATACTCTGAGCTTTCTTCCTTAGCCAATTTGTTGTTTAGTTTAGTTAGTTCTTTTTGGAGCTTTTGTATCTTCTTTTCTGGTGCAGAAGGAGGCCTAAAGGCTTTGATTATCGATTGTATTCTGCATTTAGATAAATTCCATTTTGAGAAGTCTGCAAAGCTCTTTATCTCCTTGATTACTTCTGTTTTTAATTGTTTATTATGCCAGCAATTTCTGTTAAATCTCCATTGTTTGGCTCTAGGTGACTCAGATGTGAAGTTTAGTTCACATTCTATCATTAGATAATCCGAATTGCCAAACTGTATGGTAGTATATTTACAGTATTGGCTGTAATTGGCATTAATAAAGATGTAATCAAGCCTCATAGCCATACTATGATTTCCTTATGTGTTCTGGTAATAAGTAAGAAAAGGTTCCTGGTTGTTTAATAGTGATGCTATATCAATTAGGTCTGAAGTAATTTCTTTTAGTAATTTTCTTGAAGGATCATTAGCAATTGGTGCATGGCTAATGTGATCTTTTTGTGAATTAAGATTTGTGTTAAAGTCACCTGCTACTATGTTAATGTGTTCCTCATTAAGTTGCAAGTTTCAATTATTAAAAAACCATACTCTGTTCTCTGTGTTTGGAGGAGCATATATGTTGTTTAATTGAAAAAAGTATTGTTTGTATATAAGGTTTAATGATATTACTCATCTATAGTGAGATTCTTTAATATTTTTCAGCTTTAAATCATGGTTTCCTGTAAGTATTGCTGTTTTGGAGGTCCAGTAAGAGTCAAACCCCCATATTTGTTTAAAAAGTTTCTTGTATAGATATTTTCTAAGTTAGTTTTCTGGATCATAATTATGTCTAAGTGGTATGATTTTAACAGTGTAAGTGTTTTGTATGCTTTTTCTTTGTTGTTCAGTCCTTTGATGTTTAGTGATGCAATTTTGATTTTTTTAACCATTAAAAAAATAATTTAAAAAAGTAGAGGTTGAGGGTATGCCTATTGCAGTTCTCTGGCTTTTGTATAGAGAGCTGATGTCTCTAAGACTGTAGTTCTTCCCACTTTTAGGATTGCGATTTTGCTTTTATTTCTATACTTTTTTCTGAAAACTATCATAAAACCTTGTTCATTCTTTTTATTTATAGAATTAGTATTGTTTGCCCATACATTGTTGTACAGACTTGCAAGTGAGTCTACTGGTACATTTTTATGTTTCATATTTGGCTTGTCCTTAGTTGATTCTATTTAATGTTCTAATTGACTTTCTTGTTCATTGTTGCTTGTTGACATCTCTGTGTCTGATGTTGTTTCATTTTGCATTACAATGTTTTCATTTTCTGTGTTCATTGTTTCAAGTTTTTTTGAACTAAATTCAAAAGGTTCCTTTATGCATTGTTGGAGCTGAATTTTTTTCTTGTTTCTTTTGTTCTTTTTGCAGTTTGTGTAGGTTTCTAGCCTCAACTAAGAGTTTGTAGTCTTAGCAGTCTTTTTTTATATGATCTGCTTTGTCACAGAAGAAGCACATCTTTGGGGCCTCTCTTCAATTAGTAGTGACTCTGTGGTCCCAAATATGTGTAAATCTAGGAATTCAACTTGTCAAATCTGGATCATCTGTCATTTCAAAAATTACAACCTACTGGTCTGACATTATAAAGGTTCCTTTGTGGATCAGTAGTTTAATCGATGAGATTATGCCAATATCTTGGAATGCTCTCTAATTTGCTCTGAAATAAATTCCTTTTTTCCCATTAGTGCATTTCAAATTCTGACTGATAGAAAGTTGTGTCTAATGTTTATAGGAATATACTCTTGTAAGGTCTGTTTAAAGACAGTAACACCTTCAGCAGCATATTGCTGTTGTTTGTTTTCATCTGAAAACACAATCTCTAAATGGGTTCTTTTGTTTTTGTTAATCACTAGCTGGGCTGCAACCAGGTCTTCTCCTATTTCTTGTTCCAAAGCTTCTATGATTCTTATAGTAGAAATGTTTTCTAAACTAAATAATTCAAAGATTAGCACATTTTCATTTTTGGTAATAATTCTTTTTTGTGAAGAATAAGTAGAGTATGTGGCTTTTTCTCTTTTTCAATTTCGAGAAAAGATCAGACCATTGTTTCAGTTTGGTTTGTTTATCCTAGGCTTCTGATTAGTTGTTTACATAATTGGATGTAGGCACCTCACATATTGTTTGTTTTGTTTGTTCATCTGAAATTTGATCTTTATTGCTCAAAAAAGCGACTGAAGACAAGTCTTCTTCTTCAAGTTCTGCTGTTTTATAGAGACCTCTGGCATATTTTCTTTTTTCTGTTTTTTCTCAGTAATAAGACTATCAGACCTGTTGTTTTCTTCTTGTTTTATTTTTTTGTTTACATTATCGGAGCCAAGACTAGACTTTTCTTTAAAGCTTGTGATTTTGGTTTTGTTATTTTTGTAACTTGTTGACACTGAACAAGCTTGTTTTCTTTTCCTGAGCACAAGGGTTTTAGCTCTTGTATTGTTTTTAGTAGATTTTTTCAATAAAGGTTTAATAGTTTTTGTTTATTTTGATCTCCACTACTGAATGTAGATGAAGAGAGAGAGTTTTTTTTTTTTTTTTTTTTTTTTTTTTTTTTTTTTAGTATTCTAACTTCTTTAAACAAGCATTAAGAAATTTCAGATGAATTAGTTACTAGTTTTTTAAATTCTCAGTTTAAATATTTAAAATTTAACTTAAAAAACAAATCAAATTACTTGAATTCTCTTCACAATTATGTCTTAACTCTTTAACATCTGCTACTTTAACTACTACTATTTTTTTTAATTATTTTATGTTTATTGATTATTTTAATCAAAATTTATCATTATAACATATTTCATCTTCAGTAGATATAAAAATATCTTTATATTTACAACATTTTCTGCTTTTTGTATTACCTATAAACCATTCTTAATATCAATTTAACAATTCATTACAATGGTGGTATAAAGAAAAAACTACCTTTTCCTTATTATATAAACAAGCCTGCAAATATTTATCTATATTTGCTACATTTGTTCTATCTGAATAACTATTTTTTGATGCAGATAATATTATTACTAATAAAAGAAATCACTTAAACCTTTGTACTAGTTATGATCTCTTGTTTTTAAAAATATAATAATAGAATTAACTTTTTTTAAAATTACTATTATTATAGTATAAGGTAGTTAGATAGCAATAATAAAAATAAAAATATTTAATAATTAAATTAAATATTTAAACTCAAGATTGTGAAATTTGAAGATATAATCAATTGGGTTTTTTAATAGATTAGATAATATTTAAAAATTAAAAATAGTAAGGTGTGGTGACTTAGTAAAGTGGATAAGTTGTCAATACCCAAGTGGTAGGTTGGAAGTTCAAAACCTACTGACAGCAAAAATTTGAAAACCACCTATGTTATATCAGTATTATGGAAGGTAAGCAGTATTATAGCAACAGCACTCTGTCGATAAGTTGGGATCAGTACCTGTAACATGGTTGCATCAGATGACTGGCAGGTCATAGAGCATCTGCACAATGTTGGAGTTATACAAAGAAATGCAAACTGGTATCAGGCAGTGCAAACCCAAGATAAGTTCTTGTGATCATGTAAATCTGTAAACTGGAAAACTGGAGCCTACTTGGGAAGACCCAAGTAGAGAGATAGCACAGATCTTTAACAGTACTACTGTAAAGGTTAGACCAAGAAAATAGATACCAATGTAAAAGAAATTGGGTAGGCAAGAACCTTGGATGATGGGTACTACCAACTAGACAACTAGAAGTTTTGAACTGGAGAAAAATGACCTTAAAGGGCAAACCCTGAGGTACCAGAAACAGGTCATGGTCCTATCAGGCTATCTAAATTGGGAGTCTAAGATCAGAAGCAAGAGTATACTATAAGTACTAGAGATATGCTATGAAGTTGGTGTTGGGGTCTTGGTGAACTCTGCAAGAATAAGCTCTGTTAACAAAAGACTAAATGTGAGTAATTAGTTAGCAGAGGGCCCTCTGAAGCCCTACAGTTAGATAACATACTTTAAAATGTGTAATGGCTTGATAAATGTACAGACAGAAAGGTCATGGTTAGGTTAGATGACACTTAGATGTACAGGAACTTGTGTGCTATTTGTCAGTATAAGTATAGAGATCAGAGTGTTTAAATAAGTAATCTCCTAATAGATTGCAAATATGGCATCTAGTGTAGAACTTGCTGTGCAAACAGACTACTTAAAATAGACAACCAAAAGTTGTATGTGTGGCTAGTTGTATACTCACCTTGTACAAGTTATATAATCATAATTAAAATACAATAAAGGCAATAGCCACCAATAACTACAGCCTTAGCATAAGCAAAAAAAAAAAATTTAAAAATAAAAACATAAACAATAAAAAGAATAACTTCAAATAAATATAGTATTTGCAATTAAATTTAATATAGCAAAAAAATTGTTTTTTTAAAAAAATATGTTGTCAGTTTTATATTATATTAAACTAATATTTATATTAAAAAATCTAGTTATTCTTTAATATTATTTCAAAAAATTATTATTTGTTCTCTGTTATAACAATAATCTTAAATTAAATCTGATAATACTTATATATATTAAAGTTCAAAAATAAACTAAAATATTTTTAATTATGCAATGCAGTGTATCTTTCTAAATAACTTAGTTAACTAAGTTGATGACTTTACCAATGACTCAGTCAATTGTTCATTAGTTGATTAACTACAATGCCACCTATTGAGTAATCTGAATGGAAATGAACTACCTTAAGATTACTATCAAATTTTCACTTTTATATAATAATTATCCAATAGTGTATTTTGTTTTATACAATTAAAAAGATCAAAACAAAATGTTTGCTTTTCAAACATCACTTATTTCTTAAAAACTTGCATAAACAAAAAAATTCCTAAGTGAGTTTACTATTACCTCTTTAAAATCTAGTTCTATTATAAATGCTAACTCTAACTTAAATAAATTTAAAGATTTTTAAACTTTGATTTTCTGGTTCTCAAACATAAAATAAAAAAAAATAATCTAGTAAGCTAAGTAAAAATTTATATAAACTTTTTTATATATCTTAGTTTTTATAACATAAATCTTTTGATCAAACCTGGCCAGCCAGCTTTTTTTTTATAAAAAATTTTTTTAAAAACCCACTTAGTCATTACAGCTATTTTTATAATTTCTGGAAGATCTTATAAAGATTAACTAAATGATGTTTTAGCTAATATATAATCTATATATGTAATAAAAGCATTTGTAATTTTTGTATAATTCATAATAAAAGCTATATATTTTTGTACTGAATAATTGTTTTCTAATCATTATAATAAAATGTCATTATTAAACTTTTATTTGAATTTTTATTTAATATGTTTGGTTTATCTAGTTTGCACAAGAATTTATAAAAAAAATTGCATCTGCCAAATACTTAACCTAAGCAAAAAAAACATTAGATTATAAATTAGACTTTTATAACAAATATATTATATAAATAGAATCCAACATCAAAAAAGTTAAATATAATCATAAAATTGTTGACTAGTTCAAAAATGAATTTTGGGTTAAGATTTTAAATGATCAAGATCTTGTTAATATTTGTTAAGAATATATAAAGAATCATTATAAATAAAATCGAAGGTAAAATTTTAATATATTTAAATTATTTTTATAATATTGAATTATTTTATTTATTTTTATAATATTGAATCATTTTATTTAATATAGGTCATATCATCACTTCTGATACATCATATTTTATAAAATAAATTAAAAAAAACTCTCTTTGGTTCACTATCAGAAATATAGCAAACACAAAATTTTGTTACAAAAACTAGAAGTTACTTTTCAAAACTTAAGTGGAGTAAAAACTTTTACTTCAAAAAAGCACAAACGATTTGTAAATATGAACAAGTTACAACACAAAAAAGTCAGGCTTGATACAGTCAAAGAAAGAACCTTTAGCTTTACTGAAAATGAAGAAAACAAAGAAAATAAAGGAAACTTTATAGCAACAAAAGTAAGCAACATTCCAAGAGTCGAAAACAGAACTGAAGCCTTTACTAGCTTAGCAATAGAAGAAGCTTCTACAAACTGAGCTTCACATATAGAGGAGGAGCTAGAAACTGAAAAAAAGAAAAATTAAAGCTCTTCAGAAAAGGCAGTAACATACTTTAATCAAGCTAACCAAACTAGAACAACTAATGGTCAACATGATGCAGACAACAACCAAAAGTTAACATATGTTTTAGAAAACAACAAACACAAAGTTAAAGAAGACAAAAAACATATACAAAACATGACAAGTAACAACAACCAAAAACATGTGCAACACA